CCCACCATCTCTCCTGTAGTGAGCACAGATGAGACATGAACCAAGACAGGCTCACAGGGCCTGACAGACTGTGGATCTCTGGCAGACCCAGCACCCTGCAAACCTGCAGATGTGGCCCAGCACGAGACAGTGCCTCCCACTGTCATTCTTCAGCAGTTCCTGATTCTATAGAGATGAGGCTCCTCTGCTTGAACCAGCTGGAGTTCAGTTCAGTCTTGGAGAGGTGCTCAGAATACAGACCTGGGCTTTGTCAAACTGTAAGTATAGGGAGACAGGGTCTGGCTATGTATCTGTGTATGAGTATGTGGACGAGTGCAGGTGCTCAAAGAGGATACAGGCATCAGACTCCCCTGGAGCTGGAGTTACAGGCAGTTGTGACCCACCTGACTTGGGTGCAGGGAACCAAACTCTGGTCCTCTGGAAGAGCAGTACGGGCTCTTAACAACCGAGTCAGCCATCTTTCCAACTTTATTTTTTTTCTTTTTAAAATTTGTCTTTGCTTTTTCTTAAATTGTGTGTGTGCACTGGGGGCAGGGTGCACACCTGGCACACATATGGAGGTCAGGGGACAAACAGTCTGAGAGCTGGTTCTCTCCTTCCATCATGTGGGTCCCTGGGACCAAATTTAGGTTGTCATGTTTTGTGGCAGGCACCTTTATTTGCTAGTTCATCTTATCCACCCTTTTTTCTTTTTTGAAAATATTTTTACTTATTTTGTATGTATGTATGTATGTATGTATGTATGTATGTATTATGTATTATGTATGTGCCAGAAGAGGGCATCAGGTGTCCTCTGTCTATACCCCCATTCCTTTGAGACAAAGGCCCTCCCTGAACCTGGGGCTGGTGTCTTCTTGGCTAAGCTGGAAGACAGCAAGCCCCGGGTCCTCCTGTCTCCATTCCCATCAGAGTTGAGGTGAGAGCTGTCTGTGGGACATGCAATGTGTTATGTGGGTGCTGGAATCCAAACTCCAGTCCTCATGATTGTGCAGCAAGCACTCTTAACTGCTGAGCCATGTCTCTACCCATGTCTGCAGTTTCTTGTTCCCTGCTGTACTGGTTACAACATTTCTTCTTGTGACCAAATATCTGGCAAGAAGCAACTTGAAAAAAGAAAGGTTGGGCTGAAGAGATGGCTCAGTGGTTAAGAGCACTGGCTGCTCTTGCAGAGGATCCAGGTACAATTTCTAGCACCCACATGGCAGCTAACACCTGTCTGTAACTCCAGTTCCTGGGGATCCAACGCCCTCTTCTGACCTCCACAGGCATTGTACAACACTGCATTACATTCATAAAACAAAAATGATAAATAAATTTATTTTGGTTCACAGTTCAAGGGCAGACAGTCTGTCATGGTAGGAAGGCATGGTGGCAGGAGTGTGAGGCCACTGGTCACTCTGCATCCACCATCAGGGAGCAAAGGGAGGTAAATGCTCATGCTCAGCTCCCTTTCTCTTTTCTATTCAATTCTGGGACCCCAGCCCAGGGGATGGTGCCACCAACATTCAGCCTGTGTTTTCCCTCTTCAGTTAAACCTCTCTGGAAAACACCTTCCCAGACACATCCTGAGGTGTGTCTCCTAGATGTTTCAAGATCTTGTCAAGTTAACAGAATTAACCACCACATCTACCTTATGATTTTTAGTGGCCCTAACGCTATTGATTTTTTCCCTCTTGACACTGGTGAGCAAACGGGATTTTCTTCTTGGTTTCAGCTCAAAGAGTGGAGCGTGAAGGTTCTTACAATGATCCAGGAAATGGTTAAGAATTGATTCTCAGGGGCTGGAGAGGTGGCTCAGTGCTTAAGAGCACTGACTGCTCTTGCAGAGGACCCAAGTTTGATTCCCAGCACCCACGTGGTGGCTACAACCGTCTGTAACTCCAGTACCAGGGGATCTGATGCCCTCTTATGACCTCCGCTGGCATTGTACAACACAGGTGCACTTATATACATGCAGGCAATACACTCATATGCACAAAATAAAAATAATAAATATTTAAAAAAAGAATGAGTTCTCAGTCAGCAGATACTCTAAATTTTTATTTTTCTTATGTGTGTGTACCTGCTTGTCTGGATGTGCACCATATGTGTGAAGATGCCCACAGAGGCGAGAAGAGGGTTCAGAGCCGCTGAAGCTGGAGTTATAGCCAGTTGTAAGCCACCCAACTTGAGTGCTGGGAACTGAACTCGGGTCTTCTGGAAGAGCAGCAAGTGGTCTTAATCACTGAGTCATCTTTCTAGCCCTCTGCAGATATATTCTTTAGAAGAGACTTTGATTCTCCAGAGCTCTAACAATACCAAGATTTTTTTTTCAGACAGTGACTCATTATAGAACCCAAGTTGGCTTTGAACCTAATCCTGCCTCTGCTTCCTGAGTGCTGGGATTACAGGTATGTACCACCACGCCCAGCATAGGTTTAGTATTTTTTTTTAATATTTTTATTTTATGTGTATGAGTGTATTGCCTGCACGTATGTGAGTGCACCCGTGTCGTGCAACACCTCAGAGGTCAGAAGAGGGCTTCGGACTCCCCTGGAACTGGAGTTAAGGATGGTTCGTAGCCACCATGTGGGTGCTGGGAATTGAACCCGGGTCCTCTGCAAGAGCAGTCAGTGCTCTTAACCGCTGAGCCGTCTCTCCAGACCCCATAGGTTTGGTTTTAAGAGGACCCCACCAGCCACCAGTGGGCATGAGGGTGTCCCAGGGAGGAGTTTTCTTAGAGGGCAGTGCACATTTGTGGAGCTGGATCTCAGTGTCACGATGGACTGATGAGGACATTGCAGAAGAGGAGGCAGAAATGCGGTTAAAACACAAGCCGCACGTCTCTGGAAATGACACTGGTACCCAACAGTCAGAGCAAGCTAGCAGCGTTTCCAGAGGGCCTGGGTGGGGCCTGAGCACAGGCCCATCACATGTAGTCTTCCCAGGTCCACTCCTGACCTCACAGGAGCCTTCCTCCATCACAACACCCACTGAGGTCTGCTCTATTCCTTTCCCTCTGGATGTTCATGTGTTCAGGGGATGCTGGCCCCAGCCCAAAGCTCCAGGTATCCCAGGCAACCATGGTAATCTCATCTCCTGGGCCATAATTGATAGACACATGGGCACAGGACATATTCTGGCCAACTGAGACCTGAAGGGAAGTGGGGAGGGGTATCTGGTTCCACTAACCAGGCAAGAAAGACTGAGCTAGGAAAACTGCAGCCTGGGCCCTGACCCTGCTGGCCTGCAGCCATTTCTTCTTTTTATTCCCCGCCCCCATTTTTACTTTTTATGTGTATGTGTGTACTGCCTGCATGTAGGTAAGTGCACCCACGTCATGCAGTGCCCTCGGAGGACAGAAGAGGCTGTCGGATCCGCTGCGACTGGAGTTATGGACAGTAGTTAGCTGCCATGTGGGTGCTGGGATTCAAACTCGGGGCTTCTGCAAGAACAGCCAGTGCTCTTAACGGCCGCGCTGTCTCTCCAGCCCTGCCTTTCTTCTCTTAATGCAGCGCTGGAGGTTGAACCCAAGGCTTCCTGTACGCTAGACAAGCGCTTTGCCAACCGAATCACCCCAACTCTGTGCTTTGGACCATCTCATGAGGTTGCTCTCCTTGTTTAAGGCAGTAGAGTTGGAATTTTCTGTTCTTTGTAGCTGGAGATTTTAGTCGTTGCAAGTATATAGACGTTTTTCTGTTTGTTTATTCCTAGGGCCAGAAGGGTTTTTGGCTGGAACACAGGTGAGTCCTTCCTATTTAGTATGGTCAAAAAGGACCAAGGAGAGGGGAAATAGTCACATGGCGATGAACAAGGCAAGCCTGTGGCACGGCCTTGGGAGAGGGAAGGAAACCTGGACCTCCACCTTGCCTGCCACATGCATTTGGGGCTCAGGGAGGGAAGATGACAGAAGGAATCCCTGAGCCCCTAGAAGGGAAGCAAACAGTTCTCAGATCATAAACATTTTATGAAGCATTCACATTAAGGAATATTTTTTTATTACCATCACCACTATTATTACTATTTTGAGTCAGGATCTTGTGCAGTCCAGGCTTGCCTTGAACTCACTATGTAGCTGAAGATGACCTTGAACTTCTGATACCTCTGACTCTACACCCTGAGTACAGGCATGAACCACCTGGTCTAGTTTATGCAGTGCTATGCATCAAACCCAAGGCTACATGCATGCTAGGTAAGCACTCTAAATCAACTGAGGTACATCCCCAGCCCAAAAGAATAAATTTAAAAAAGCACTTGGGAGACAGAGACAGGCTGATTTCTGTGAGTTCAAGGCCAGCCTGGTCTACATAGTGAGTTTCAGACCAGCTGGGGTTATAGGGAGCCCTTGTCTTTTTTTTTTTTTTGGTCTTTTTGAGACAGAGTCTCCCTGTAGCCCCAGCTGTCCTGGAACTCACTATGTAGACCAGGCTGGCCTTGAACTCACAGAAATCCGTCTGCTTCTGCCTCCCAAGTGCTGGGACTATAGGCGTGCACCACCACGCCTGGCTGACCTTGTCTTTTTAAAAAATATCTTTATTTTTATTTTATGAGTATGAGTGTATTGCCTGCATGTATGTAAGAACATCCATGTCATGCAATGCCTGCAGAGGTCGGAAGAGAGTGTTGGATCCCCTGGAACTGGAGTTACAGACAGTTGTTAGCCACCATGTGGGTGCTGGGAATCAAACCTGAGTCTGTGCTCTTAACCACTGAACCATCTCTCCAGCTCCAAGACCTTGTCTTAAACAGATAAAAAGATGGAGAGATGGCTCAATGGTTGAGTGCTCACTACTCTTGCTGAGGACCCAAGTTCCGTACCTAGCACCTATGTTTGATAACTCATAATTGCCTACAACTCACTCAAGGGAAACCTGATGCCCTCTTCTGGCCTCCAAAGGCACTCATACACCGATACCTACACATACACATTAAAGAAAAAAAACCTAGAAAAGAAAAAGTTAACTCTATTCTCTCCCTCCATGTTTGCCGAGTTCTGTGTAAAAATTCTATGACATCTCGAATTTAATATTGATGTAGCTTTATTTTAGCAAATAAAAATAGGACTTAAAAGCTTTCTTCCTTTCTTCCCGCATACCCTCCTGAACTCAGTTTGCTCAGGCTATGAATTTTCCTCTCAGTGGGGTGATGAGAAGCAGGATCTGCAGGCATGAGGCGCCACAGAGGTTCCCATCCCCATCATCAGTGAGTAATGGGCATTTCCCCAATGCTTTCTGGTAGGTTCCTGTACGCTAAGGCCTTTAGTGCCCTAAGCTAAGAACCATATTGTCGGTTTTTGGTCTGATGCTAGGGGTAGAATCCAGAGCCTGGAACTTGTGAGGCAGGTGCTGCCCCGAGCTCATGCTGCATATTTTACTTCCTCTATCACAGTGTCTAACACATCTCTAGATATTCTTACCATACATGCTCAAATCCCAACTACATTTAAGGTAAGTTTCTGCTTCGGTGACAGAAGCTCTTGGGAGATGTTACCTTGGATCCCACTGTTCTGTCTCTGGGTGAATGGTGAGCCTTTGAATCAGACTTTTTTGATAAAAGAATGCTATCCTTTGGCTAGCAGCTACCAAGGCAGAAGTTTCCAGAAATCCTCTCTAGGGCAGAATGAGAATATGATATTACTCTGGCCACAGGAAGTACTGCTTACTTCCCCCACAGCACTCCTCATTCTGTCTACACCATGTGCTAAGAGGCCAAGCATCTCCCCTGAGTTCTCAGGGTTGGCTCTCCTGGACCACCTGCCCTGTCTTCTGCAGAACACAGAATGGCTGGACCCTCACCAGCAAGCTGAAGCCAGAGGGCCAGAGGATTCCTCTTATGAAGAAAATAAGACTGTCTCCTCTAAAAATGGTATATAAATTGCAAGGATTAAGAAAACCCATATCTAATACACATCTATATTTATAGTTATATGATAATCCTACAAAAGTCTGATGATCACAAGTGCTTGGACCAAAGGTCAGGTCCAAGTTCCTCAGGGCCAGCAGGATGTCCTGAGTCAAGTCTTGCTGGGTGACAGGCCTACATGTCATAAAGTCGGAGCTGTTCCTGCATGTCGCCGTCCGACATCTCCCCAAAGGTCTCCTTGTTGTCCTTCATGAGCTTGAAGATGGTAGCCAGCTGTTCTTTCTGAACTCTGTTGGGAAGAAAGGATAAGAGGAAAAGGATGGTCCTGACCGAGCGGGGAGAGACTGTGTGCCACTGCCCAGGTCGGGGCGGTCATCTTTTGGAATTGCTCTTGCTTTTCTGTGATAAAGAAAAACTGAAAACAAAACGCACTCAGAACGCAGGAGACAGTTCACATTAACACACTCCACCTTCAGCTCCTAAGTCTCAGGTTCACTGTGACGGTTTGGGGCACTCAGATTTCCCCACGGGCCTCATTTTATAATTGACTTGTATCGCAGTGAGGCCAGAAGGAAGAGAGTCTGCTCCCTGAAGTGCCTTAGAAGCCTGTGGAGAAACAGGCTAGAAACAGCCTCGGTTTAGAGGGGCGAGCCAAAAGCAAGGGAAGGAAAAAAAATACACGATAGAGGCTGGGAAACCGGGACGCAGAGATGTAGGCAAACACATCTGCAGGCAAGATTCCTGGGCAGTGGGGAAGGGTAGGCTGAAATCTACCCCGTGGGGTTTCCAAGCCTAGAGAAAGGGGCACAAAGAGGGTTTGGATGTAGAGCAGCCATGTTGACCACACAGCTCTGTGGATGTCCTGCTTGGTTTACAAGACTCCCCCACACCATCTGACCAGCACAGAATGACTTCCATAGCAAAGAGTGAGGATGGGGAAAACAGCTAAAACCAGGAACAGCACCTGGGCCTGTGTGGTCCACTTCGGTGCCCTGCGCCACATCCTAGCTCCATCTTGGCTTTCTGGTTTCTTGCTTCTGTAGTTTCTGTCCCTCCACACACCACTGGCTTGGCACCTTGAGAAAATTTGGGCCACAGTGCAAGCTGAGCTCTCAGCCCTCCCTGATCTATGTCTGATACCTATGTCATGATAGCTATGTATCCATCAGGTCCATCAGAACTGAGTGGGCTTCAGCAAAGCTGTTGGCCACCAGCATCCCACACCACCAGGAGGGGTGACCTCTGTGTCAGTTTTTATGCTATTTATTTTTGAGATGGGTCTATGTAGCCCTGATTGGTCTGGAACTTGCTATGTTGACCAGGCTGGCCTCAAACTCACAGAGATACATTTGCCTCTGCCTCCCAAGTGCTGGGATCACAGAAATGTATCACCACCACACTGGGTTGTGTGTTTTTAATAGGGTGGACATGAGACCTTGAACTCTGCTGGAGCAGGCAAGACATCAAATGAAAGAGGGTTTAAAGTTGTTTCTACAGAGATTATTTTTCTAAACAAAGCAAACTGAAAAAACACACAGTAATCAAGGTTATCTACTCAAAGTTTATTGGGCTGAACAAAGGCTGAATACAGAGAGCCAAGCCGTCAGGACTGCACGAGGCTTGCTGCCCACAAGCCATGTTCAGAAGGCTTCCACACAAACGCAGCTAATGGTGTCTAGAGGAAGTCACCACTTTATAGGTACGATCCCAGCCTAGATAGGGACATCGCTATTGCTATTCAGGAGCACGACTGTGGTTTCTATTTGTCATGTGGTTCTGTGTTGAAGGCAATGACTGTGCGTTTGTTGCCTGTTGTGCCCTAAGCCCTGAACCCAAGCTATGAGGCCCAGGGAGAAGGCCAGCAGGAATGCCCACCTTAGGAGTTGATGCTAGACATTTCCTGCCATCCATGAAATGGAAAGTCTTTTGAAAGCTTATTTTAGAAAAAAAAATGTTTTAGCCATTTCGTAAATAGTATAAATATTGTCAAATACAAAATTCCAAAAAATAACCTGGAACTGATTATCTGGTGAGGTTCTAAGTAATCTTGGAAAAAACCTTCTAGAAAAATGCACATTCCAGAAATCTATTGGACTCTAACACCATTATTGCTTCTACAAAGCAAAAGTAGAGATTCAACTGAGCTGGTAAGATCTGTGAAAAGGCCTCTTAGTACCAAGAGGATTGGACCCAAGCCTCCTTCAGACGGAAAGGGAGGTGATATTAAAGCCAGTCCCTGGGTTGCTTGGCTCTTTTTCTTAGTGATCAGTGGCATCTCTCATCCCCCATGGTGGTAATGGAGCCAGCCAGAGAGGAGGAGGTAAGTGGATCCAGGGGTAAGGGACAGGGTCACCATCCCTGACAGAGCACCAGTGGGCTCCCCCTTATTGGTCTGTCACTTCTCAATCTTGTGGTTTGGCTACAGTTCAGACCAGAGCAGGAGGCTGCTGAAGCTGGTGGTTTATTGGGAGTGTCGGGTGTATGGGGAGCAAGTCTGGCTGGTAAGAAAGATCCAAGGCCTGAGCCCAAATGCCTAGCAAAGCCCCCCTCAGAAACATCTCTAGAAAGAGCAGAGCCGAAGTTACTCCTGAGGCTCGTGGTAGGCCAGGGAAGTCCTGACTCGGGGCGGGGCAGGGGGGGTGTCTACATCTCAGCAGATTTGCAGGCAAGCACCCCCACTTTCTGTCCCCCAAGCTGCAGTTTCCTCTCTGGGGTTTTCACCTTTTTTTAAAAAAAAATTACTCAAGCTTTTAAGATGCCAAAAGAAAAAAAGCCTTCAGGAGGAGCTAAGGATAACTTCATTATTCTTCCGTTCTGTAAAGAGAAACAGGGAAAAAAAGATCATGTATCTTACTCCAGTTACCTTAGAAGCAGCACAGGACAGGAACGGGGACACGGGACCGGACATGTTTGGAATTGCAGAGACCACGCAGAGATTCAGCGCCCGTTTCTCGTTCTGGCAGTTTGCCCTTTGCACCTTGCAGCAAAGCAGGCTCCGTGCAAGGTCATCTGGGGCTCTTGACCCCGCTCCCCCATAGCCTGACAGCCACGGCTACTTTCCCCCTTTGAGAGACACAACGATGCGCAGCCGGGCAGCAGGGCTTGGTGATCCCTGGCTTTGTGGTTACAGTGATGACGTTCCTATCACCCTGGATATTTTCTGCTTCCCGCTGGCTGTGAGGATACCTGTACCTTGCTGTGCAGGTACCAAAGATGGGGTCAAGCAGGAGGGCAGAGCACTCATAGGGATCGATCTGATTTTGTGCCTTTGGTGCCCTCTGATGGAGATTGGAGTCAATGTGCACGTTCAGCTAGAGCCTGGTCTGGTACAGAATTATCTAGGGCTGGGGTTCCTGTGCTGCCTCTCCACCTTCCCCAGAACGCAAAATGAAGTCTGCATCTCAGGTCCTCTGTTACTTTGGTAAGAGTCAAGATTAGAACAGTCCTGCAGACCTTCAGACCCAAGGCTGTGGGGCCCAGCCTGACTGTCAGCACCACCTAGCCGGCACAGGCCGGGTTCCCTCAGGGACCAGCGGGTGGGAAGGAGGGATGTAAAGGAACTGCAGCGCCTTGTTTTTCCTGCTAAGCTGCTTGGCCAGCCACACTTTGCCAGCTTCGCCAGCTCAGGTGGTGACGGTGGATCTGTCACCAGCCTGCTAGCCAATGGTCTCAGCCACACTATGGGTTAGAGTTAGCACCTCCTAGACAGGTGGAGGGACCCCAGGGACAGAGCCAATGTGGGGAGCATGGGAGGGATGTGAATGTCTGGCACACTGGGAACTAAAAGGGTGCGCACTTGCTGCAGCGAGGTCGTAAGCAGCTGCTGCCTCTCATCCAAGCCCAGCTATTTCCCAGCCCCTTGACAGTTCTGTCTGAGCAGATCCAAGGGTGGGACTGATCAGTGGAGCTCTGGGGAGAACCCACTTGTGACCTCCAGCTTCCTAACTGCCATGCCCTGAGAGAGCGTCCTGTAGAAACAAATTAAGGAGCCACTGCAGAGCTGGCTCTAAGCTGAGCTGTGCTGGCTCCACTGATCATTGAGGCCAGGGGATGGTACAGCATCTATCTACCTGTTAACTAGGTGCACCTTGAGCGTCAGTCTAGAAGAGCCTAGAATCAGAAAGAGGCAGTCTGGCGGGAAGACTGACAGGTCAAGAAGAGAGCACCCAGCTTGCTGCTGATGAGTTCATTGGTTTAATGATAGCATGTGCTTTTAAAGATACGTTATTTGTTGTGTGTGTGCAAGTGTATGTTGTATGTGCATGAAGAGGTGAGAGATAAACTTCTGGGAGTCAGTTCTTTCCTTTCACCATGCAGGTCCCAGGGATCAAATTCAGCTCATCAGGATTGATACCAAGTGCCTTTACCCACTGAGCCATCTTGCCACTTTTATTTGTGTGTGTGTATATGTGTGTACACCTTTAAGTTGCAGTACCTCAGGAGGCTAGGAGAGGGTGTTGGATCCTGTGGAGCTGGAGTTATAGGCATTTATAAGCCACCCAATGTGGGTGCTTGGAACAGAACTGGGGTCCTGTGCAAGAGGATTGTACTTGCTTTTAACCAGTCAAGCTATCTCACTAGCCCCGTGCCACATGTGTGTTATTTCAGGAGACAGTTCTAGGAGTTCTCTAAATTCATCTTGGGTCCACACCTATCTTGTCACCCTCATCTCTCCAAGCTCAGGAGACAGAGGCAAAGCCGAACTGAGCAGCCTCTGCAACTCCAAGCATCTCGTGAGGCACAGAAGTGTGGTCAATGGCACTGCAGGCAGCTCTGGCTGGGGCCGCATGCTGAGGCAGGAGGGAGCAAGCAGATGACAGATGGGGCAGGCATGTGACAGCCACAGGGAGCATGCTGGGAGGGTAATGGGATGAATATGAACTCTGGCCCTGCCTGGACCTCCACCAGCGCCTCCTGCACACAGTGTGGACTGCAGTGTACAGATAAGGAGTTGGGGACTCCTTCACCCCAAGAGCAGCTCCTTGGCACAGCCTCCAGCCCACAGCACAGCCAGGTTTGAATGGGTGGTCTGGAGACCTCTGGAGACCTGGCGGGAAAAGCCCTCAGGCAGTGGGGACTCTGCTGTCTTTGAAAATGACCCAGAGGTGATTGTGCCTTCTTGTTTCCTGGCCTTAGCTCTGAACACTGGGGCAGTGGCAGACTCCAAGCCTGAGGCCCAGCCTACAGTCTGTTGACTCGGCTCTCCTATTCTGACAGTGCTTTCAGGCCCACGGTGCATCAGCCTGAGTGGACAGAATAAGGCCACAGTTCTGTCCCAGGCCCATCCACAAGGACTTTAGGGGTGGCAGGAATGTCAGGCCCTCCATATCCTCTCCAACCAGGGCTGGACACGGTGGCAGGATCTGTGGCAGTGTCTCAGCTCTGCCCCTGGAGCTCCAAAGCAGCCACAGAAACAGTGACTTGGCTGTGCTCTGGATTCACACCAGCAGGGAGTGGGTCAAATGTGGCCGGCCTCGGTCTGCAGCCCCAGCTCTGAAGATCAACCCCTGCCTGTCCTGCAACGTGGGAGGGACCACGGGCCATTCTCAGGGTGTCTGCCACACACTGTGCAACCAGCTGCCTCCCCTTCTCTGGGTGAGACCAAAGCCACCATGGCCACTTCACAAGGTGCATGAGCATTCCTGCACCCCCCCATTATACTATCACCCCAATCAGCTGGCCCATTGGGTACACCAGGGATTTGTCTTGGCCTCCAGGAACCTCTGCCCCTGGGAAAGGAGGCTTTTGTTCCCGGGAGTCCTCGAACACAAGAAGAATGAGATGGGCTCAGGTGAGATGAAATGTGTTAATCAGTTATGAAGGGGACGGAGGAGGGGGGTTTGGACTACACCAGTGGCGCTTGGGACACATCGGCAGACAGTATGAGGAAGTACCGCTAGTCTATGAAACCAGCCTCCTTACCAAAAGGATCTGCAAGAACATTTGTGGCTCAGGACCTAGGGAACTCGCTACAGGGAAGTGAGGTCAGAGGTCAGTTCAATCCTGAAACATAAAGGTGGCAAATGGGGTCACACCAAGAAGCAGTGTCCTGAGCACCTAAGGAGTCGCGGACACCCGTGGGAGGGGCTCCTTTTCTGCCTGTGCCCATACTGTCCCTCCTCTGCCCCCAGAGTGAGGAGCTTTCTCCTGAAGCCAGTACCCAGCAGGGAGACAGGATCTTGCAGGCAGGTGTGATGTTGGAGGGGTGCCAGTGGCCCAGGAGTAGCCTGGAGAGGGTGGATGAGTTGTGTGTTCTACCCCAGTCTTACACAGCTAGCTTCTGTTCACAAGTCGGGGCTGGTGAACCCCTCTGGGTGGCAGGCCCAGAAAACGGTGCCACCTACTCCCATTGAGGCTTCACTTTGTTGCAAGGGCTCCACATCATACTGTACAGAGGCAGCCAACACACATGGAGGACAGCTGGGCCAGCCCAAGACCCACTGCTCCCTGGGGCCACCCTGGTAAGCCCACTGCTTCAGAGTACCCCACAGCCACCCTGGCAGGATGGAGTCCAGAGGAAATGTTGAGGGAAGCCTGATGGGTACACGGGGTCTCTGGCAGGTGAGGGCCCAATGGCCTGATTCCAGAAATGAGAAGCCGTGCAGCTGCCTCGCGAGCTGCACAGAGTGGAACAGACAGAAAATGACATGGCAGGCGGGGCCAAGAGGAACGAGGCTGCCAGATGGATGAGCACCAAGAATTCTGCTCTGTCCTCAAGCGACAAACTGGTTTTGTCAGGATTCTATGCATAAGTGAACAGCGGCTACTCCGGGCTCTTTCCTTTTCCTGGTATCATTCTCTTTTCTTTCTTTTCTCCCTTCAGCCGGGGGGAGACTTGGGGCAGCAAGAATATAAAACATGGACCCCACTTTCCTCCCCTCCCTCTGTGCTGCCTGTTCCCAAGGGAACTTCTCCTTTGATTGAGGCTGGCTGAGTACTACCAGGACAGGAAAGGACCCCCCCAAGCCTAAGGGAGAGAGCTTGGTGGGTGGGGCTTGCAGGAGCCACCTACCTCTGCTCCTCCTCCAATTCTTCTCTGGTCATCATCTTCTTGTACTGGCTTCCCCTCAGCTGTCCAGGGCTGTACTTAAAGGAGAAGGCCTCTCCTGTGGGGGAAAAAGCAGGTAGGTGTCGTGGTGATGTGGGAGGTTGGGCCCTTCTCCTCTCCTTGGTTGGTTTTACTTTGCCCCTCCCCTCTCCACCTCTCCTCTCTCTCTCTCTCTCTCTCTCTCTCTCTCTCTCTCTCTCTCTCTCTTCCCCTCCTGTGTTTTTTTTACTCGTCCCCCCCCCCCCCCCCCCCTCCTCTCTCTCTCTCTCTCTCTCTCTCTCTCTCTCTCTCTCTCTCTCTCTCTTGCTCTCGCTCTCGCTCTCGCTCTCTCTCATTTGTCTACATAGCTGGGGATCATAACCAGGGCCTTGGACATGCTAGGCAAGCACTCTTTCCCAAACTACATACCCAGCTTAGGGTGGAAGGAGAGAACTGACTCCTGGAAGTCATCCTCTGATGTATATATGTGCACTGTGGCACACACATACCGCTGCCCCACATAAATAAAGTAAATGAAAAACAAATCACACAAAAAAGAGAGGGGCTGGAGAGCTGGCTCAGTGGTTAAGAGCACCTGGCTACTCTTGCAGAGGACCTGGGTTTGGTTCCCAGCACCCACATGGCAGCTAACAATCATTAGTAAGTCCAAATCCAGGGGATCCAACACCCTCTTCTGACCTCCTCGGGCACTGCACGACATGGGTGCACTTACACATGTACAGGCAATGCATTCATACACATAAAAATAAAGAAAATATTTTTTATAATTTTTAAAAATTCATTATTATTTTATGGGTATGTGTGTATTGCCTGCATGTAGGTAAGTGGAGGGCATCGAATCCCCTGGAACTGGAGTTACAGACAGTTGTTAGCTGCCATATGGGTGCTGGGATTCAAACCCAGGTCCTCTGCAAGAACAGCCAGTGTTCTTAACTGCTGAGCTAGCTCTCCAGCCTCTTTTTTAAAAAAGAGAAAAAACCCTAGGCTTAGTGAGGGAGACATGCCTCATGCATAGCCCTGTGTCAGCCTAAGTGCAGCCCGGCCTCAGAGAGGGCCAGAGGTCCAGCAACATCACCCTCTCACCCCAAACCCACCCCTATCCACGGAATCCTTTAGTTCCTTATACCTTGCCCATGAATCGGGGAACACAGATCAAACAGACAAACTAGCCAGAGAGAAACTAGCCCCTATGTGGCCTGCATCTTCCAAATGGCATGTTCCCCAAGGCCAGGTTAAGCTGTCTGCCTGTACCTCACTACCTACATGACAACAGCTCCAGCAGCATCTACTAGGCTTCCTCCCTCCTTACAGAGGCCTCCCTGGACCCCAGTCTCTGTGCTGATCAGACACAGTCACACAGCAAATGCTAATCATCTTAGGAAGCACATGAGCCCTGGGGACCCTGACCCTCCTTCCCTTCTCCAGGGCAGGTCCTGAAGCCCAGGTGTCATGTCCGCTAGGCCCATTCTCTCCTCTCTCCCCCCGGTTATCAGAAATTGAAAACATGCATCGGGCTACGATGTGATGTACAAGCGACGTGGGAGCTGAAGGCCTGATCTGAGCAGGCATGGAGGACTGTCAGTCTCCGAGGGCAACCCCCAGTGCCCACAGACTGTCAGAAGGGCAGATCTTCAGGTGTGACAGGGGAAGGGACTGCGGAGGAGGGCTAGGCCATGTGACAGGAAAGTAGCGTGTCCTAAAGAGAATCTGCTTGGGAAACAATGTCCTCAGTGTCTCTTAACTTTAAGTGCTATTCTAGAAGAACTTCCTACTGCCTCCCCAAAGTCAGGTGTGTCACCTCCACCCCCTCCCACAGCAGGTCAGGAGAGGCCCCTTTCATTCCCCCAGCTGGGGGCAGTCACATGTCATCAGATAAACTGACATGGGCTATAGGGAGGACAAGACCTCTGAGATTAGGGTTCTCTCCTGGCTGAGAAGAAGAAGGTTCTAGATATGAATTAGAACCCAAACATTCTGTAGGGGACATGTTTCCCTCTCAGTCATCCTTACATTGAAGAATTTGGGTCCTCGCTCAGCCAGCTCTCCAGGGCCAGAGGCCTTCCTCAGGAAGCAGTCACTGCCTTTGTATAAGAATTGGTTTGCAGGGGCTGGAAAGATGGCTCAGCGGTTAAGAGCACTGACTGCTCTTGCAAAGGACCCTGTTTGATTTCCAGTACCCAGATAGCAGTTACCGTCTGTAACTCCAGTTCCAGGGGATCTGACACTCTCTTCTGGCCTCTCCTGACATTGCATGCACACATGTAGGCAAAACACACATACACAATAATTTTTTTTTTTTTAAAAAGAATTGGTTTGCTCTGCAAGTCCTTACACAAACATCTAGACGGTGCAATTCCTGGTGCCAGGTATGTTGTAGTGACTAGAACACACAGTGGACAAATGTCCATGAATTAAAAGATTCCATCCACAGCTGCTCCTAGACAGGGAGAGCTGAGATGGGAGTGACATAGGTGGTGGCCGGGGACCAGAGAGGTGTTGGTGGATCCAGCAAGATGGCTCATCTGATAAAGGCACTTGCTACCAAACCTGGTGACCTAAATTCAATCCCCGGGTCCCACATTGTAGAAGGAGAGAACTCTAAATTGTCCTCTGACCTCCACACATGCGTGTTATGACATGTGCACTTCTTTCCCCAAATAAATAAATGTAATCATCATCATCAGCAGCAGCAGCAGCATTTTCAAGGTGTTGATTTCTCAGCTCAGAGCAAGCCAGGGTTTTGAGTATGTGTATTGGATGAGGGAGGGGGAAACCGTAGCAGACTGATTCGGACTGGAGTCTGACTGGAGGGTAGGAGACAGCAAAGTGCAAGGTGACTGTGGGCAAGGGGATAGAAGGATGTGGGTTAGAGGAGTAACCCAGCTTCTTGCTCCAGTAAGGCAGGGAGTCTGGAATAGAGCCAGGCAGTCCTCTCTGCCTCCTCAGAGAGCCCCCATTCTCCTCTGGCTCCCCTCCAGGCTGAGCTCCATCCAGCTGGGCTAACACGAGGCCCGACGGAAGTGCGGTTCGTTCTTCTTGGGTCCTAGGAACCAAGAGCTTTTCAAGTCCCAGGTGTGGACGGATGAAGCTGGAGATCTGGGAACTTCCCTGACCAGCTCCCGTCTGCTGCCAGAACTACAGTATCCATGTTCAAGAGCAAAAGCCCTGGCTGTCGTGAACGCCTGGGGACGGCGACCACAGCTGCAGGTCAGATTGCAAGCAACCTCAGAAGGACCCAGAAGAGCTAACAAAGAAAACCGATGAACCTCAACATCAGGGTCATTGTGTTGCTGTTTTAGGAAAATAAGTATAAAAAGTTCTGCCAGCTTGGTGCATGTCTAGGTCCTGGTTTATGGGGCGAGTCTGATTAGCTTTATGCTTTTCCAGCCACACAGCACAGCTGGCTGGCAAAGGTTTTAACTTAATCACATGTGGTCTGCATCCAATTTTGGTAGAGCAGGAGGATTGGACTTGGGAGCCCCCAGGGAGTACATGTATGGGAGGGGGAGTGTTCTTCCAGGCACTGTGAATCCATGAGTCTCTTGGGGAAGTCATTTTAGCACACTAATCAATTAGCCTGGGAGGCTAAGCTGCTTATAGCAGAGAGGATGGCAGGGGGGCAATCGTTTCTTCTGACAGCTGGGGCCGTCAGCCTTACTCCCTCTGCCTGGTTAGAGACAGCAGGAGGCCACAGGAGTTGGGGCTGCACAGGGACAGTGGCTCAGATAAGGACGGATGGCTCAGCAGCAAGCGTGGGGCTGGATGCACGGCTGAGAGCGGGGCTGGATGCACGGCTGGGAGCGGGGCTGGATGCACAGCTGGGAGCGGGGCTGGATGCATGGCTGGGAGCAGGGCTGGATGCACGGCTGGGCTGGGCATCTGTGAAGATGCCCACTGACTTAGGGACAATGGGACTCGCATGTTTTCATCCAAGCCTCTAGCATCACTTCAACCTCCCTTCTTCATCCCCAAAGTCAATGTGGGACCCCAGAACCCACGTTGCAGCAATAGGCCTGTGAGAGTCAGTTGTGTTAGTGCCTGTGAGTGGACAGCGAGGTCTGGGTGGCCAGGGACTGACATTCCTGCCCACTACTGCCTGTGCCTAGGCAGCCTCTGAGGCCATACCAATAGAAACCCACAGTTCTGCTCACTCTCGAGGTCCTGGGGGTCCCTCTGGGCTCCATTCCTCCTGACAGGAGCCTCAGTTGCCCCATTCTTGAACCCCCTCTTTCCATCGTCCCTGCCAGAAGCCAGCTTAAAGCCACAGCCAGAATTGCTTTAAAAAATAGGAACTATCCCTCCAAGTACTTACTGTAATCTAATGAAAGTTGACATTTTTGCCTTTTTTTTTTTTTTTTTTTTCTCTTGTTACTTTTTCAAGGAAATAAAATATGATGAATCAGAAGAAGCTTTATCCATTTTGGTGTGGCTGGCCCACACCGGAACCTGCTGGTTTCATCTGTTCTTGAGGCTCCCTCTCTCCCATCTGAGCCCCCTGGAATTGGGTGGCAGAGGCCTGACTGCACTCCAGGGCTTGAGGGAAGTTCTCAGTAAAATCTATCAGAGAGATACATGGCCTGGCTCAGAGAGGAAGAGGCCCGGCAGCCAAGGAAGGCCGAGACCTCATTCTCCAAAGGGGGGCCTGTGTGCCTAGAGACACTCATCTTTTAAAAATATTTTTATTAGAAGGTATCTCCTATCTGGCATTGTTGCTTGTTATGTAGCCTTTAGCTATACATATGGACTCTTAAAAAATTATATTGGCCCCTTAATCTATGGTTATACTTTCCTTTTGGGTGTTTAAGGCCATACAGTTGGCCCAGATAAACCAATTTATTTTTACTCTTAAGGCCATTTGAGGATCTGTTCCTCAGGGGTCACATGGGCTTGGGAGGAGCCCCTGGCATGGGGCCTGGTGTGGTGGCGCACCCCTTTGATCCCAGCACTCAAGAGACAGAGGCAGGCAGATCTCTGTGAGTTTGAGGCCAGCCTGGTCTACATAGTGAGTTCCAGGCTAGCTGGGGATACAGGGAAACCCTGCCTCAAAAAAGACAAAAAAAAAATTTTTTTTTAATTTTTATTTTATGTATATGAGTGTATTGCCTGCATGTATATAAGTGCACCCATGTCGTGCAGTGCCCATGGAGGTCAGAAGAGGGGGCTGGATTCCCCTGGAACTGGAGTTATAGATGTTAGCTGCCATGTGGGTGATGAGAATCAAACCCGGGTCCTCTGCAAGAGCAGTCAGTGCTCTTAACTACTAAGCCATCTCTTGAAGACACTTATTTTACAGATAGAAAAGCTGGAACCAAAAGTACAAAGGAAATACACAGGGAAGTGAGGTGTAAGCAAGGCCTTGGCCTGAGCATCCCACAGCCCTGCTCCCCTCAGGCCACCCAGGGTCCCGAGTCCCCCAGCTGTCAGCTCCACGTCCCCAGCCAGGCTCTGGGAGAAATAAGGACTGTTGCCCGAGGTGGGTCTCACTCACCATCCTCTTCCTCGGGCCCTTCTGGGGACAGCCCCTTATCACTGTCCGAGTCTTGCTCTTCTTCCTGCAAGACAAGGACAGGGTCAGTGTGGCAGGAGCAAGCTGAGCCCTGCCCCTCTCAGGTGGGGGTGAGCTATGAGCTGAGGGAGAAGGCCAAGAGTGACCCCCTCTCAAGGTGGTTGTGGGTGAGGAGGGAGAGGCATGAAGGTCCAGTGTGTGACTGTCTCCAGCAGCCATGGTGTCTGTGATGTCAGAGCAAAGAAAGGCTGGAGTGAGGAGGTGATGGGGACTCTGGGCAGCTTACGCCTTTACCTCGGCCATTCCCAAGCATTTGGGTGCCATTCTGATAGGTGGCCTGAAACGCCTACCCTCACCTTAGTAAGTAAACACAGACACCGAGAAAGCCAGACAGGCTGCACTACCCGGGGTCAGGGCCAGCCTAATGGCACAGCTGCTTCCAAAACGCCAGCCTTCCTCGCCTCCTCCAGCTTCATTTTCTATCTCTGGTCAGCTCAGTATTCATTTTCCCAAAATTGGAGCTCCACTTCCTTAGTCTGGTCTCTCCCATGCATGGACTCAATAAACAGATGGCTGGGGAGTGGCAACTGTCCTGGGATGGCCTTAGTGGAAGGAGTGACTTCAACTTCAGGAATGTTTGAGGATGAGAGACTTGTGATCAGCCCAGCTATGTGGGACTGGAGGGTGTGGGGAGGGGATGAGAGGCCCAAGGAACTGCGTTTTGGAAGGCTAACAAGCCAATGTGGCAATTTCAAGTTTGGTGGGTAGGGCACGAGTAGGAATGTGCTGCATGCAATGGAGACGGACAGATGCTAATGCAGGTCTTGGGTGCCCAGATACCCCAACAAATAGCCTGGCTGCCAACTTCAGGAGGAGACTCCCCAGTGGAACAGAAAGCTGACCTATAGACAGAGCTTTCCCATCCCATGGCCATGCGTCATGGTGATGGGTCACAAGTGGTAAACTCTGGGGCCTTGAGCGCCTCAGGATATGGGGTCAGTTCCTTCCACTTAGTAGTTTGTAGGCTTTGTGCTAGCTCCGTGGAGGCCATGCCGCCCCCAGAACAGATAAGGCTGTGTGTCCTAGGGGACCAGATACCTCCCCAGTTTTTTGTGGCTAAGGGAGGCAAGCAGGCAGAAAAAGACACTCCTGTTAATACAGCAAACACTCCTAAGGATATGCTGTCTAGACTGGAAACATCAGGACTTTTATACAGTGACTGATCCTGTGAGGTTGGAAACAGCAGCACTGGGAACAAAACGTTGACCTGGGGAGGTAAAGATCTACCAGCTAAATATATTTGGTTAACACGCTCTCCAAAATGTTAACCTGTCCAATGTCCCAGGGCACCTATACCACACAAGGCTGTGCATGAGAAAGAGGTATCTGCATGTGATGACTAATGGGAAGGGGTCAAGAGAAATTACAAGGGGGTCTGAGGAGACGGCTCATTCAGTAAAGTATGCAAGCTGGGGCTGGCGAGATGGCTCAGAGATTAAGAGCTGTTCTTGCAGAAGACACAGGTTCAAATCCCAGCACTCACATGGTGGCTAACAACCATCCGTAACTCCAGTTCCAGGGGATCCGACGCCCTCTTCTGTCCTTGGTGGGCATTGCATGATATGGGCACACTTAACATGTATGTAAGCAGAACACTCATACTCATAAAATAAAAATGTTTTAAAAATTGTTTTAAAGTATGCAAACATGAGGAACTGAGTTTGGATCTCCAGCAGCCAGGGAAAAGTAGGGTGTGGCTATGCATGTCTGTAACCCTGGGGCACAGGCTAGGGGTGGGGAGAAGACAGGCAGATCCTCAGAGCTCACTGGCTGGCCAGCTAGTCAACTGGTAGGCTCTAAGTTCAGTGAGAATCCCTGACTCAAAAGATAAGGTGGAAAACCCAGTGTGGCAGCGCACACCTTTAGTCCCAGCACTTAGGAGGCAGAGGCAGGTGGATCTCAGTGATATTGAGGCCAGCCTGGTCTACATAGCGAGTTCCAGGCCAGCTAGGGCTACAAAGAGACCCTGTCTCAAAAAAATCAAAAAACAAAACAACAAAAAAGATAAGGTAGAGAGGAAGACACTGGCATAAACCTCTGACCTCTGCACACACACCCTGCACAGGTCCCTCTCTCTTTTAAAGATTTACGTATACAGGTGTTTACCTGCATGTATGTATGTACCGTGTGTGTGCAGTGTCCAAGGAGGCCAGAAGAGGGCATCAGATCCCCTGGAACTGGAGTGACAGTTGTGAGCCACCATGTGGGTGCTGGGAACCGAACCTGGATCTTCTGCAAGAGCAGTTCAAGTGCTCTTAACAGTTAAGCCATCTCTATAGCCTTGTGCACAGACCTTTGTGGTCATTATGATTTGGGCCATGCAGGCTTGTCAGTGCCAGCAGTGGCCACCTCTGAGTCTCTCCAGAGCTCATCGTTACAATTCAGTATAATTTGGATTTCCTTTTTTGTACTGTGTATATACATGTGCTGGAGAACATGTGCATGGCGTACATATGGAGGTCAGGGGACAACTTAAGGGAGTCAATTCTCTCCTGCTGTTTTGGGGAGCAAACTCAAGTCATCAAACTTGGCAGCAAGTGCTTTTACTCACTGAGCCATCTCACCCGCCCCATTTCTTTTTCAGACAGACTTTTGCCTTGTGGCCCAAGCTGTCCTTTGAGCTGCCTATGTAGCCCAGGCTGGCTTGAAATTTATAATTCTCCTGCCTCAGGCACCTAGGTGCTGCCATCTTTTTTTATTTTCATTTTATGTGTATGAGTGTTTGTCTACATACATGCATCTACAACACACGTTTCTGGTGCTTGTGGAAGCCAGAGAGGGCATCAGATTCTTTGGAACTAGAGTTAGTTAACTGTGAGCTGCCATGTAGAGGCTGGGAAATGAACTCGGGCTCTCCGCAAGTACAGAAAGTGCTCTTAACTACTAAGCAATCTCTTCAGCAACCTGAAACCATCTTTTAAAAATGTTAGCAGGTAGCTAGGCATGGTGGTTCATGCCTTTAATCCCAGCACTCCAGAGACAAAGGCAGGTGGATCTCTGTGAGATCAAGGCCAGCCTGGTCTACATAGTGAGTTCCAGGCCAGCTGGGGTTACAAGAAGACCATGTCTCTTAAAAATAAAAACAGCAGCAACAACAAAATTACCTACTTGGCCTCTGCCCCAGCTGCTAAAGCTCTGATGACCCTGAGGGGTGACAGGGTCACAGGGACATGAGGGGATCTTTTGTTCTAACACTTTGTTTGTGATGTTGATTCCTGACACAGAGCTCTTAGATCCCTTGGGATTTCCTGGGTATCAGGAGCATCTTTTGCTTCAATGGGGTTACCCTTGGTAGCTTCTGGATAGACCTGGTCTCCAGAAAGGCCAAGGGAAAATTAGAAGATTAAAAGCCTGGAACTTTCCACCCCATGCCATCTTCTGGGGAGGGCAGAGGGACTATGGATCTAGTTAATGACCCATTGTGCCTATATGAGGAAACCTCTGTAAAATCTTCGAAGTTGGAGCTGGAAAGATGGCTCAGCAGTTAAGATCGCTTGCTGTTCTTCCACAGGACCTGGGTTCGATTCCCAGTACCTACATGGTGGCTAACAACTGCTTGCAACTCCAGTTCCAGGAGATCCAATGCCTTCTTCCAGCCTCTGAGGGCATTGCATGCATGTGGCGCACTTACATACACGCAGGCGAAACACACACATAAAGTTAATAAATAAATATCTTTTAAAAATCTTCAAAGTGCAGAAAGCTACAGGCTCATGCAGACACCCACATTCGGGGAAGGAGGCACCCCAACTCCACACAGACAGAAGGTTTGTGCCTCACACTGCACCTTGGTCTGGCTGTTCATAGCCAATTATCCAACCTGAAGGGGGTTATTGGAAGTCCAAATTGTAAGCTAGGTTGGACAGAAGTCGGAAGTCACCTGTGGTCATGCTGATTGTGATTGGCATCTGAAATGGGGGGTGGGGGGCACGAGACTCCAGAAACTTCTAAACAGGGCAAGATGTGATGAGCACTCCATCTGGAACAATAGCAGTATCTGCAGATGCCTTGGAGAAGGCAGGGTAGGAGGTAGGCCTCCCAGTTCAGGGCAGAGGGGGAGTGCCCAAAGTGGGAGGCTAGAGGTGGGACACAGGTGACTCCGCAAGGCCCTCCAGGTTTGAGTCCCCTCCACTCTTGAGTGACAGAACGACTGACTCCTGGAGGCAGCCCAACTCCAGCAGTGCCCAGTTCATCCCAGGATTTCAAAGTGAATGGAGCAGCTGCTCAGACGGCTAACCACAACCTCTGAGAAGGCCACCACTGCCTTCGGCTTTGCAGAAACATGGTCTTGCTGTGTTATTCAAGCTGGCCTCGAACTCCTAAACTCAAATGATTCTGCTGCCTCAGTCAAGGTAGCTGAGACCACCATGCCATGCCTCACTACTGTTGAGTTCTTGTCAACGCCCTCGCCCTGAGAGTCCTGCATGGCACCTATGTGTTAGGGTTAAATTGTGGCTCACCTCTCCACCCCCCTAAGTACCTCTGCCTGGCTGCATAGTCAGGCCTTTGTGCGCCACCACGCCCGGCCTATTTATTTATTTTTAATATTTTTTATTTATTATTTTATTTTTATGTGTATGAATGTATTGCCTGCATGTGTGTAAGTACACCTCTGTCATAAATGCCCGTGGAGGTCAGAAGAAGTGTCAGATCCTCTGGAACTGGAGTTATGGACCACTGTTAGCTGCCATGTGGGTGCTGGGAATCAAACCTGGATCCTCCGCAAGAGCAGTCAGTCCTCTTAACTGCTGAGCCATCTCTCCAGCCTCAAGGATATATATATATATTTTCTTAGTCTTTTTGAGACAGGGTCTCCCTGTAGCCCCAGCTGGCCTGGAACTCACTATGTAGACCAGGCTGACCTTGAACTCTGCCTCCCAAGTACTGGGATTAAAGGCGTGTGTCACCATGCCTGGCTTCCAAGGATATTTTTTTAAAAAAATGGGAGGGTACAAAATGGTTCAGCAGGTTAAGGTGCTTGTCATA